ATGAACACTTTTAGAGCAACGTAAATAGTTATGGTAACCATTGTTGATATAGAGGGGTTTGTAAAGATGGTAGAATTTCATAATTCAAATCACAAATTGATCATAGTAAGACCACCACTGAAGACTCAGAAGCATTGGATATTCCTTTTACCCTGACTGGACTCCTCAGTAATGAGCATCATCTCCCGAATGCGGGTTCATTGATACACACTATTAATGAGCCCAACGATAGGACAAAATAGTGCACATCACTATCGATAACAATGAACTAACCAATAATATTTGCGTTAAACACCCGCTACTTAGAACTCACTCTCAGACTGGTCATGACTTTAACCCTTTTCATTTAACTACAAATCATGAAATTAGACCAGTTATATCAATATGAAACGCGCGTCCTGGATTCCACTGCTAGCCACTATCCATATTTGCTTAAAAAGCTTCTGACATAAGGCTATATCGAGGCAATCCGCACGGGATGCATATATACCGATTGCAGTCCTAAATAACAATGTGAAGATACAAGTAAAACAACACCAAGTGAATATGACTATTTGTTGTTGTTGATTCAGTTTGAAGTGTCCCTGCTACTATTCAGTGTCCATGTATTTATTGTTCTCTCCCTATTTGGTTAATATTTTACATCTTTGATACTAATTGTATTGACACATAACTTAGAAACAGATTCTGATTGTTGGCTACATACATAGTTACCTATTTTGACTATACTCTTCTATGTGTCTGACAGTATAGGGATTTATTCAAGAAATTCATCTATAGGTCATTACTTCCTACAAATAGCTATCCAGTGCTTTCAAGTTTTCAGTAGTAGCCTAATTAAGTAAGATCTATTCGTGAGTTGAACTATGAAATGTACAGAATTCATTAAAGGGAATGAACTTATAGTCACTGTCATTTACTGATATTCCACTTAATAGACTTATGAATTTAACATCTTCTTTTCTATCAGTTTAAGTTTTGTTTTTAAATGTCAAATCAATTTACAAAGAAATGATTGAATGATCAATGATTGATAATACTATAACTAAGTTTTCTATATATGATTGATGAAATGATGTTAAATCTGACCTTTATCTATATGAGAGGTATTGAAAACTGGATAAAAATCAATTGATTGATCACTAGATGGTGATCAATATCATGGATGTCAAGTCCTTCTTAGTGCAGATCGAATCCTATCGATCAAGTTGCAATATGGCCACTAATCTAGGTGACTTGGCAGTGCATGCACTATATTGATATTACAAGAACACCTTGTTGATGAGTACTAAGTGGCACGAAACCTAGGTCCAGGGTTTATTGTTAACTACCTCCAACCACCATTATAAATCAGTTACTTACTTACCTACGCCTGGTACTCCTTGTGAAGGAGCATAAGCCGCTCACCAGCATTCTCCATCCAACTATAACCTGGAAAACCCTTTCCAGCTCTTTCCAGTTCTTATCCATTCTTTTCATATCTGATTCTATTTCCCGATATAATGTGTTCTTTGGTTTTCCTCTGTTCTGCTTCCCTGCAGGATTCCAAGTTGGGGCTTACCTCGTGATGCAGTTTGGTGATTTACGTAATGTATATCCTATCCATTTCTATTGTCTTTTCCTAATTTCCTCTTCAACTTGAAGCTGATTTATTCTCTCCCACAAAAGACTGTTGCTGATGGTATTCGGCCAATAGATGTTGAGTATCTTGTGTAGGCAACTGTTTATAAATACTTTCACCTTCTTGATGATGGATGCAGTAGTTCTCCATATTTTAGCTCCGTACAATGGAACTAACTGTTTTGATGTTCGTATTGAAGATTCTGACTTTGATATTGATCGATAGACTGTTGTTATGAGGTCCATATGTTCTTCAATTGTAGGAATGCCGCCCTTGATTTGCCAATCTTGTCCCTTACGTGTGCATCGGATTCTCCTTGTTCATCGATGATACTTCCCAGGAATGTGGAAGTTTTTACCTCTTCCAGAGCTTCTGCATCAAGTGTCATTGAGTTGTTGTTTTCCCTGTTGTATTTGAGAATCTTACTTTTTTCCTTTGTGTATGTTAAAGCCTACGGATGCAGATCCTGGTGTTACACTGGTTATCTTCATCTGCATTTGTTCGTGTGTATGCGATAGGAAGGCTAGGTCACCTGCGATGTTCAAATCGTGTAATTGGTTCTGAGATGTCCATTGTATACCGTGGTTTCCTTCAGATGTCAAGGTCTTCATAATCCAGTTGACCACCGGAAGAAGAAGGAAAGAAGTGAGTAGACAGTCTTGTCTAATTCCAGTCCTATTATAAATCAGTTACATATTATATTAACTTTAGATCTTAATACTTATTTCATTCAATCACATTGTTACAGAAAACTAGGTTTCAAAATAGATCTTTCTATGACATATATCTCTATGACATTTCATATTTCAAGTGTATTAAACATGACAGACTTATCAGTATACCTGCCGATAAGATTATATGAAAAATAGATAGAGATTAAGATTTTCTTAATCTTAAATTACCTCAACAGATTTCAAATTGGACATTAATTTTACTTGATCATACCATTTTTGTATTATTCTAAGTAAGTATAATGTCAATTTATCATATTCAACAATAAACTGATATGAATAAGAAGAGAATAGAAATACAAATATACTTCTTTTAATGATTGTTTATTTTAACAGTTTTTCTCTTTTTTTTTTCTTTTCTTTTTTTTGTTCTTTTTTCTAAAGAGATGTTATCTTATTATTGAGAGTTATATTCACTTGATGTTGTTTACTTATATCTTCCCATGTGTTGGTTATAACTACAAATTTTCACTATTATGACTGTAACATTTTGAATAAATTGACATTGAGATGGTGAAGAAGATTTGTAGCTCAGGTGGATAATATTGATGAAGTTTTGTTCTCTGAACTGGATAGTTTGGTCATGAAGCTTTGTAGTGTCGGTTATTATGTTAAGCCTAAATACCTTATTCTAGCTTTTGGATAGCCAATTCTATTCATTCTACTTGAGTCATATTTTGACTATGTTAATTATTTGCTTATCAACAACCTTCACTATTTTTATATGAGCTCGTAGGTGTGTGTACACTTCTTATCCCATTCATCAAATGTCTGTAACTTATTTTTATGTGCTTATAAATATTGATTAACGTTTGGTTAAATCGGAGTTGGCTTACCCACCATCTCCACCGCGCGTTGTTTTGCTTCTCTCTGTTCCGTTCGCTTCATATATAAAATATATGTATTCAAAAGTTCACTCTCGTTATTTGAACTATTTAATTCCGTTATTAACTAACGCGATTTAAGTCGATGATTATATACGAGGATAGGCGACATATTTATATTTCAACAACGATCATTCATGAGATCTACTTGGAGTCACATCTCGGGCCACTAAAGTGGAGAGCCCTTCGACGAACATCATTCGATCTAAATGTAGACAAAACAACGGGCTCCGCAGCTTTCATCGTTATTCTGAATGATATCATCAGCACAAACTTCAGTTGGAAGTGAAGTGACTGAATTTCTCCACACATAGCTCACAGCTTGTCCTGTACACCTTGATGTTGATTGGTTATTATTAACCTTTAACCTGGCATTGTTTACTTCTTTATTTTGTTTGTATCCCCCGTTGATTGGAAATTCGGTCAAATATTTGTTCATAATTTTTCCGATTGGTTGATAAATTGGATTGATCTAGAGGACAAGTTGAGAGCCATATGTGAAGAAATTCAAATACTTCCCTTGTACCTGAATAATGATTAAAGCTCCATGACCAAACCATTCAGCTCAGAGAAAATAACTTCATCGTAAACTTGCATTGCATGAAGATATAAATGAATATGAATAACGAATTGGAGACAGGATTATGGGATACATTTTTCCATTTATTTATTTATTTAAACACATAGAAATTGGTACAAGGAGCCGCCACATAAATCATTCAGTTTTTGTAAGGGCTGGGATACTGCCTGGGTGCTCAAATTGAAATAGGTGATTTTCGTAGGGGGCCATACTCGGAGTCTTTGACCTAAAGGTCTAATCTACAAGGCTGTCGAGCAACGTCAGGAGATGCGATCCTATGGTAGCCAGTGATCAATAATTGACTCATACGCCATTTTTTCCTTCAGGGTACTGGAGTCCATGTGTACCATTGGTTTAGAATCATGGTTTTCCAACTCTCCTTGATGGACCCTTCGTGTCAACCAACCCGGTAAAAGCGCCGAAGATTCGCTTTTCGTCCTCTTGATTTCGTAAACAACACCCTCACTGCGATAAGTCATTAAGTAAGATTTCTCTTACAGTATCTGTATAGGCGTGGCTAAGTTAGAGAATTTGGAGAGGGAGAGCTGACTCTACTCACTCTCGGCCGTACCAGGGCATTTGGGGACAAAACGTTTTCTAGATTTAAATTGAATTGACTCGAGCGAGATAAAGAATAATTCTGTATATTAGATTGTAAAAACTTGTTCATTTCAGAGGATGTATTTATAATTAACCGTCAATGAAATTCATACGAATTCTTTACAAATATTGAAATCCATAAGGAAATATGATAATTCAACCGTTATTCTGATTGCTTTCTGTTCGCCTCATTTCTTCAACTGCTGTGATGTGTACTACTTCTATCGACATAAGTAGTATATAGCGCTAGTCAAAAATAGAATGCCTGGAAGCAGAAAGTTAAGAAGATCGTGGTGGAGAGAACAGGAACAGAAAGCAATTGATATCGAAATACCGGAATAATGAAGTCTAAAACAATTAATGGACATTTTGCAAATGAAGTATTGGAGTATGGTTTTTCTACTTTGCCAAGTAGTCGGTTGCCCTAATTTGCGTTCTCCTTTACTACACTGCCAGTAAGAATTCTACTTTCAATTCTTAATACATACTACTTATATCACTCTGTTCAAGGAACACACACACACACCACGATTCTCTTACTACTCACATCTGTTTTAAATTTACTAAGTGAGAGTGAGAAAGTAAACTGTGACTTTCAATTATTATTGATTTTAACAGTTACCTTTGGAAACACAGAGTAAAAGAATCGATATGATTAATTATAAGGTTATTCTCTCCATCAAATGATTTCAAAGATTTATGTCATTTTTAAAGATGATTTGAATAAATATATTCTTCTTGAAGAGAGTTTCGTATGCTAGACTTTCAGTAAAATGCCCAATATTGGGTAGGACAAAGCAGCTTATGATTTCATTGCACTAGAAAATCTTCTAAACATTTTGTTGAATGTACAGATACTTGAGTGCTTTGATCATGTTCAGTTGAATTGATGAATGATGGTGAAATCGATGTTTTATTAGTTAAATGAATTCGATTGAAATTTTCTTCATCACTTGCTCCTTGACCACTATCTGAACGTTGTTCTTCATTAGCAATTGGAGTAATAATATTTTGTACACTACAATCTATGTTTCTTTTATTCATTGATTTGGGATCCCTTAAACTGGTTGTATTAAGATCCGATAGTACCGCTGTATTAGACACAGAAGTGGAATTTAATGAAACAGATCTATCATGTTGTATATAATAAGTTGAAGAAATAGGTAGAGTGTTTGTACATTGAAGTAAAATAAGATCAGGTTTCACCGTAGAATTATTTGAAGATGCTAATGAAACTGATGGTATAGACATTATAGATGAATCGTATGGTTGAGTATTGTAGTTTAACTGTTGTGGTATATGTAAACAACATCTCAATTGTTTATCATCTAAGGATGTATTTATTAATACTTGTTGACAGTCATTTTGTGGTAATTCTAAAATGAGTGAATTCCATTCAGGTTGTTGAAACTAACAATCAAAAGAAGAAAAGTAAATATTTCATTGTATTTCTTTATGTGAACGTATCATTGTGTTATACAATGATATAAACTAGAAGACTAACAAAATATTATATCCCGATAAGTATAATGAATGGTAACTTTTGAGATCCATTTACGGACCAATACTATGCATATATTTTTATCGTATAATTGTTTGGTTGGTATATAAACCCAGTATGTTTGAAATACATGATTCATATCACAGAGGCTGAGATTAGTGTTCTGGAGTCTAACAGACAGGGTTAGGTGAGAAGTAGAACCCATAAGTACTCTAGACTGTTTGTACATGTTTATGAGTCATTGGTCCGGTCGATAATTCGCTATTCTCTAATTGGTAGTATCATTACATTATACATTGATAGGGAAATAGGGCACAAGTTCTAAGACAAAACTATAGAGTAGAATTGTAGTTTATGTCTTTTTCAACAATCCTAATGCATAATTTCTCTTTGGATCAAACCTAGAATATTCACATTTTGTAGCAAATACATTAATTTTCAATCATGTAAAATTGATCCACCTTAGCCCTATCTTTCGTAATACTTCATGTAGATAAATTGTTTGATACATAAAAAATGGGATACCAAAATTTATTATTAACCATACTAAGAATAACGCTGTATAGATCAATATAATAATGACACGAACACCGAATCAATAAAACAAAGAATAATATCTGTAATAGATCGACTGATATTAAAGTTAAGATTAAACCAATTATAATAACCCATTTAAACTATTCTTTATAAATAAACTATGCAGAATTAGGATAGAATGATTATATTTATGACATATTGAATATTTTATAGTTTGGTTCCAATTTAAAGAGATTTCTTGTCTAAGAGAAGTCATTATAGTTAGAATGTTTGATAATGGTGAGGTAAAAATGAAAGTGATTGGTCATTCATCGATTTTTTAGTAGAGATCATGATCTGATTGATGTCAGACCACCATTGAAAACCTGGAAGCACTGGATGGTCGTTTCGTCATATTGTGGGACTCCTGTGATCCCACTCACAGGATTCGAACCTAGGGAGAACGCTTAACCTCTAGACCGCTGAGTCGGACGGCATCCAATGGCGTTGATTTCTAACCTCAACCGATCCATAAATTGCGCGACCATCTTCCATTTTCTTAAGGTAGATACCTGTCTCTACCAGACATGGATTAGCTCCACTGATCACTGCTTCTCACTAAAACTCTGAGAATTCTATAACGAAGCTAGTTAATAGTGAGCAAATGGTAATTATCAGTATGGATTTGGAGAGATTGTAGTATTTTAACAGTTGGATTCACGAGTCGAGACCATCATTGAAAGATCATCCGTGTCGGGTAGAGACAGATGTCTACCTCAGTCTGACATCAATCGGTTAATGATCTCAATCAAAAAACATAATAATCTCTACAACCCTATACTTATTTTTCGATACACTTAAAAAAAGTATAACTGTCTCTTTTATACATGGTTAAGGTGTAAGGAATTAACAAGCAGAAAACTTTATACCGGGAAAAAAGTGTATTCAATAATCATGTATAAGGTACACTTCCGTATTAACAATTTATGCTTAGCGAGTCAGAATTTTGTTTTCTATAGCTCTAGTGTGGCATAATTCCCATATAATATTACCAATAATTGAGTGGTTTAATAACTCCGCCTGTAGTTCTTCTAGGGTTACTGCCGGTCCAAAGACCGATTGAAAGATGGGGGTTCGGTATGAGATCAGCATCCCCATCGCGTCTAAACAACTTTTTTAAGAAGAACGTTAACTATAGTTAACAATAGTAGACAATTTTAACTCTGTCGTGGGAGTTGAAGGATCTTCATTCAGAAAAAATTATGATGTCTGATGGTGCAAGGCGAGATTCTTTGGAAGTCACACGATCGATATTCCTAACAACCACAGCAACGGTTAATATATATACATAAAACGTACGGAAAATGTGGGACACCGGCAGGACCAATTAAATAGCTGCGGAAATGAGAAGATACTACTTGGCAGTGCTCGAAATCAATGAAACCCATTAAATTCAATCTAGACTTACTTACTTACTTACTTACTTACTTACTTACTTACTTACTTACTTACTTACTTACTTACTTACTTACTTACGACTGTTACTCCCAATGCAGCATAGGCCGCCGACCAGCATTCTCCAACACACTCTGTCCTCGGCCTTCTTTTCTAGTTCCATCCAATTCTTGTTCATTTTTCTCATATCTATCTCCATTTCTCAGCGTAATGTATTCTTTGGTCTTCCTCTCCTCCTTCGACCTTGAGGATTCCATGTGAGGGCATGTCTTGTGACGCAGTTCGGTGCTTTCCTCAATGTGTGTCCAATCCACTTCCAGCGCTTCTTCCTGATTTCTTCCTCCACTGGGATCTGATTTGTTCTCTCCCACAGTAGGTTGTTGCTTATAGTGTCCGGCCAGCGGATCTGAAGTATTTTGCGTAGACAACTGTTAATAAACACCTGTATATTTTGGACGATGGATTTCGTAGTTTTCCAGGTTTCCGCCCCATACAGTAGAACTGTTTTGACATTTGTATTGAAAATTCTGACTTTGGTGTTGGTTGCCAATTGTTTTGAATTCCAGATATTCTTCAGTTGTAGATATGCTGCTCTTGCTTTGCCAATCCGTGCCTTCACATCTGCATCAGATCCACCGTGTTCATCGATGAGGCTGCCCAAATATGTGAAGGTTTTTACATCTTCCAAAGCTTCTCCGTCAATTGTGATTGGATTGGTACATGCTGTGTTGTATCGAAGAATCTTGCTTTTCCCTTTGTGTATATTGAGACCTATTGCTGCTGAGGCTGCAGCTACACTGGTTGTCTTCTCCTGCATTTGTTGTTGCGTATGCGATAGAAGATCCAGATCATCTGCGAAGTCTAGATCGTTCAGCTGCATCCTAGCTGTCCACTGTATCCCGTGCTTCCCTTCAGATGTTGATGTCTTCATGATCCAGTCGGTCACCAGGAGAAATACAAAGGGTGAGAGTAAGCAACCTTGCCTGACACCGGTCTTTACTTCGAACGACTTTGTCAACTGTCCTCCATGCACGATTTTGCAGTTTAATCCATCATAGAAATTCTGTATGATATTGACTATCTTCTGAGGCACGCCGTAGTGTCGAAGAAGCTTCCATAGGGTTGTTCTGTCCACGCTATCAAATGCTTTATCGTAGTCGATGAAGTTGATATAGAGTGATGAATTCCATTCAATTGATTGTTCCACAATGATCCGTAGAGTTGCGATTTGGTCTTTGCACGATCTATCCTTACGGAATCCTGCCTGTTGGTCTCGAAGTTGGGCGTCTACGGAGTCCTTCATCCTGTTTACCAATACCCTGTTGAAGACTTTTCCTGGTATTGAAAGAAGAGTGATTCCCCTGTAGTTGTCACAGTTGCTGAGATCGCCTTTCTTTGGTATTTTGACTAGAAGTCCTTCTTTCCAGTCTTTTGGTACCTGTTCTTCATCCCAGATCTTTCTGAAGAGAGTTTGGAGTATCCTTGCAGTTGCCGCTACGTTTGCTTTCAGTGCCTCTGCTGGAATGCTGTCTAGTCCTGCTGCTTTGCCACACTTGATTTGTCTGATAGCCATGCTGATTTCTTCAATTGTCGGTGCGCCAACATCGATTGGGAGGTCCATGAGTGCTGCTTCGATGTTGGGTGGGTTCAGTGGGGCTGGTCGATTCAAGAGTTCTTTGAAGTGTTCTACCCACCTGTTTCGTTGTTCTTCAATGTTGGTGATTATCTTGCCTTCCTTGTTTTTCACTGGTCGTTCTGGTTTACGTTGATTTTCAGAGAGTTTCTTTGTTGTTTCATACAGTTGTCTCATGTTTCCTTCTCTGGCAGCCAAATTCAATCTAGACAAAAAAGGATAATTTGGGGAGAGAAAATGCTCTACATACTCAGGGAGTTGTTTTGATGCTGACGACGATAAAGACCAGTTCTATGAGAGGTTGCAATCAACCATAATGAAGTGATCAAGAAAGGGTCTGACCATCCTGATGGGAGACCTAAACTCCAAAATCGGAATGGATAACACCGGGTATCAGGATATCATGGAATGACACGGTCTGACTCGGAGAAGGGAACAAGAATGGTAACAGATTTACAAATTTATATTCCCTCAACAAAATTGTTATGGGCGGCACAATATTCCCCCACAAAGGCATACATAAAGTAATATGGCTCTTACTGGATCACACGACACAGAACCAAATAGATCATATTTGCATCAGTAAAAAGTTCACAAGGTCAATGAAAGACGTGAAAACCAGAAGAAGAGCTGTTATAGCATCAGATTACCACCTGAAGGTTGCCAAGATGAAACTAAAGCTAAAGAAACACAATTAGCATTACAAAGGCTTAATATAGCCTTCCCTAGACACACCGACAAACTCAATGAATTCAAGATAGCTCTCAACAACAGGTTCCAAGCCTTACAAGACCTATTCAAAGAAGAAGAAACTACTATGGAGGAAAACTAGAAAGTGATCAAACAAACACCGACTTCAGCATCACAGGAGATTCTGGATCTCCAGAAGCATCATCATAAGAAATGCATCTCTATCAAAACCTTGACCAGGATTCAAGAAAACAAGAAGAATAAATCTCAATGGAAACACTGGACAAGATTAAAAGAAGGAAGAACAAGAAGACAGAAATTAACAACAACCGAACACGAACAGAGAAAGTCAAGGCACCATTAAAATTATTAATAATTAATTATTCACTTACTGTATTTTTAATTATATTCAAAGGTGTTAAAATACTTTCAACAAATATTGGTTGAATGACATCATTCCTATCTAATTCTTGTTCATTAACATTTATATTCATTGTACATGTTGTTTGATTATTTGTATTAATATGATTACAATATGTATCTGTTTCAATAAAATTATAATATGGTATAAAATAATTTTTCATATAATCTATTCTTGAACAATCATTAATAATAAATAATTTCTTAGAATGATCTTGATCTTGATCATGATTATGATTTTGATCATGATCTGAATCTTGTTTTTGATAAGTAGTATACAATGAAATATTATCAAATGAATTATCAACATTTCCTTCTGATGTATAATCATTAAAGTGATCTGATTGTTGTTGTTGTTGTTGGTGGTGGTGGTGGTGTTGTTGTTGTTGTTGTGGTGGTGGTGGTGGTTGTTTTTCACATTGTTGATTAAATAAACTTGTTTCTATATGATTAATTCTTCTCTTATCATTGTTATAATTGAAGATTGTTTCATTAAATTGTTTTATATAAAGATTAGTAACATCATTATTATTATGATTATGATTATTACTATTACATATACTATTACAATGCCATTTTGTTGAACAATTCATTTGAATATATCGACATGGTTTAATCATACATAGTATAATACTAATTAATAAAGCAGCTATAAATGTTGATATACCAGATAATAATATAACTATGAAAATTTTATGCGCTTCTAATATTGTATATTTAAAATGATTAAATGATGTATTATATTGTTGAATAGTTTCTGAAATTAACCAATTTCCACGTGCTGGAGTATCTTCAATAATTAATTGAATGATCTTGAATAAAGAATATAAAGAATTCATAGAAGAAAAAATTATAATTTGTTATGTAATAGTTATTCATAGTTTATACTTACTTAATATTTACTTACAATTGTTACTACCAATAGGGTAGAGGTTATCGATCAGTATTCTTCAACCCAATACGTTCTGAGCCTTCTTTTCTAGTTCTATACAATTGTTGTTTATTCTTCTCATGTATGACTGCATTTCTCGATGTAATGTGTTCTTTGGTTTTCTTCTCCTCCATCGACCTTGAGGATTCCATGTGAAGGCTTGCCTTGTGATTCACTTCAATGCTTTCCTCAATAGGTGTCCTATCCACTACTAGCGTATCTTCCTGTTTTCTTTCTCCTCTGGAATCTGGTTTGTTCTCTCCCATAGTAGGTTATTGCTGATAGTGTCTGGACAACGGATTCGAAGTATTTTGCGTAGGCAGCTGTTAATAAACACTTGTATCGTCTGGATGATTGCTTTTGTAGTTCTCCAAGTTTTCGCTCAATACAGTAGAACTGTGTTGACATTTGTATTGAAAATTCTCACCTTCGTGTTGGCTGCCAACTGTTTTGAGTTGCAGATGTTCTTCAGTTGTAAATATGCTGCTCTTGCTTTGCCAATCCATGCCTTCACATCTGCATCAAATCCGCCGTGTTCATCAATGATGCTGCCCAGATATGTGAAGGTTTTTACATCTTCCATATCTTCTCCGTCAAATGTGATTGGATTGATGCATGCTGTGTTGTACAGGAGAATCTTGCTTTTCTCTTTCTGTATGTTGAGAGCTACTGCTGCTGAGGCTGCTACTACATTGATCATCTCCTCTTTCACTTATTATCGCGTGTGTGATAGAAGAGACAGATCATCTGCGAAGTCTAGATTGCCCAGCTACGTCATATCTGTCCACTGTATCTTATGATTCCACCCCTCTTAATGTTGACGCCTTTATAACCCAGTCGGTCACCAGGAGAAAGATGAAGGGTGAGAGTTAGCAACCTTGCCTAACACCGGTCTTTACTTCGAAGGAGTTAGTCAACTGTCCTCCATGCATGATTTTGCAGTTTAATCCATCATAGGAATTCCTTATGATATTGACTATTTTCTCAGGCACGCCGTAGTGTCGAAAAAGCCTTTATAGTGCTTTCCTGTCCACGCTATCAGATGCTTTCTCGTAGTCAATGAAGTTGATGTACACTAATTGATGAATTTCACTCGATTGATTGTTCCACAATGATCCGTAGTGTTGCGATTGATAGTATGATCATAATAAGTGAGTGATCTTCAACCGGACCATTTTTGAAAAAACTATTAATATCTACAACTTTCCAAGTATTAATTATGTCAAGCATGGATTAGATAAGTTCATTCTGATTGAAGATAAAGAAATTAATCTTTCACTACATTTAGATTATTGCCAGGAGTTGGTTTCGCTCCTTGAAATTCAGAACTGATCAAATTCAAATTTAAATATCAACAATCCAGTAAATTACTTTAATATCTGTTAAGAAAGTTAGTAGATAAATATGGCGAGACTATAAATCATGGACAAGCCAATCAGAAGCGTTTTAGGGATTTCAAAGTTACGGTGCCAGTTTCTATACCTGATGCTCACATACAATCGGTTCATAGCGGATTTTAGAGAAAATATGATAATTGAGCGGCTACAATAGATGAAACTACTAAGAAGTTCTTTTATTTGTGATTGTGGTAATCAAATGACTTGGAGGAAGAAGTCTTCTGGAATAGGAACTTTTTTCATTCGATGCAGAATGAAACTAAAGGAAAGTATAGTAAAAGTATAATAAAAGCACCAGTAATATTGGCTTCAAAATTCGCATCCATAAATTATAGTCTCACCGATAACTGCTCTTGAACTGTTAAATTATAGATTGGAGTCTAAGTACAAACATCAGTACTACTGTTCAGTAAGATTCAACTGAAAGGTTGAAAAAATAGAAAGAAACAGGTATCCACTAACAACCATCAATGATCAAACACAAAAACTGTCAACTATTATTGAATTTATTCAATATATTCAAGTATATGCTAATAGTTCGATTAGTTATCTTTCAAAGTTACATTCAGGAAAACAATGATACAGTGAAAATGATAAAAACTTTTAACCTCATCGGTTCTTTGATCTAAGATTAGATTCAACTTCTGGTAAATTTCTTAATTCTGATGCTATCAAATATGGTTACTGTCTTTATGCTTCATAAATGACTGATAAATGTTTAATGCATTTCTAGACACTGTATATCTATGCAAAGTATACTACAAACAAATTTATAGCAACTCTTCTACAATCAATTTCGATTATTGGTCCTTTTATTAACTTATTTAACAGACAATGTTATTTGAGGAGTACGAACTTATCTATTTCTTTGTACTATTATGATCACTTGTGACAGCGTATACGTATATATATATATATCTAGCTAAAATGTTAGTCGCTTAAATATTACTCGATCAACCATTCTATTTCCCATATATGCTGGGATCCTATTATTAACTTTTACCTTACCTAACTGAACCTTAATTCAATTTGACTACAAATCTGCCTCTGTATTTGCTCACATTAACACATTCGTTTATCTAGTTCAAATTCACTCAATGAGCTTGTAGCTTTGTGATCTGTGCTATCCGTTAATAAACTATAGTTACCGCTTCTTATTGCCTTCTGATTTCAAACACGATTGAGATTTTTTAAATAACGGTTACTAAAGTGATTGTTTAAAAAAGCTAAGCCATTACAAATTATGGATATAATTTCTAACTGGTCTTTAGAAATGCATGCTTTTATATATATATTTATATAGATAGATAGATGGATAGTGATAAGTCTTGTTAATTTGAACGCTTAATTAGGTTCCCAAGCTATTCTGGTAACCCACAAGCTAGAACTATACAGTGACATGAATACGAAAGAGAAGACGCAAATTATGCGAAGAGTGCTTCACTTCAAAGGTTCCTTTTCGTACAGAAAAACACCAGTATTTATAGATTATTAGCATTTGTCAAATTAACATTATATTTTTGATTGAGATCATGAACCAATTGATGTTAGACCACCATTGAAAACCTGGAAGCACTGGACGGCTGTTTCGTCCTAGTATGGGACTCCTCAGCAATGCACATCCACGATCCCGTTCGCGGGATTCGAACCCAGGGCCTTCAGTCTCGCGCGCGATCGCTTAACCTGCTCGACCAGTGAGCCGGCATCCAACGGTGTTAATGTCTAACCTCAACCAATCCACGAAGTTTTTGGCCAATCCGCTAAGAGACATATTATGCTACCGACCAATAGTAGCATACCACGTTAAACTCTAGAAAACTCCCTCATGCTCTGATTGGCTGGAAACTTTTCGGCTCCTTTAGGGCCTTTGGAGGCTCCGTTGTAGTTCTCGAAAGCAGACTCAACAGATAGATAGATAGATAGACAGATAGATAGATAGACAGTCATTCTTATAAATATATCTACGTTTTAAGACAGAAATGAATGAAAAACTCAATATACGTAAATAATCTATCAACTAACATTCCTCCCTCCCTCCCCTTGTGCAATGAACTCCTTAATGGTAATCATATACGTTGTTTTGAAAAAACAAAAAAAAGGAAAGGAGAATTTCATTTTAAACAACAACAAAAAAAGCACAACAAAAACAACAAAAAAAGAGAAAAATATAAAAAAGTAAAATAAAAAAAAGATTTACTTTTTCAGATTTTTGTTCAGGTATTCCATTATCTTTAACAATTACTATGAATTGATAAATACCAATATTATATTGATATAAATTTTTAATTAATATTAAACGTCCATTTAATGGATCAAGTTTAAATGAATCCAATATTGGATTATCTTTCATTGATTGTATAGTTCTATTTAATGTATAGTATTGTTTTATATTATAATGTAATAATGCATTATTACCTTCATCTATATCATATGCTTTAATAATCAATATACAATAACCAGGTTTTTCATTAATCGATAAATGTACTGAACTAATAATATGTGATTTGTTTATTAATTCAGTGTTATAAAGATTCATAGAGGTTGAATTTATTGTAGTTAATGATTGATTCATTGATGTTTTATTTAGATCTTGAATAAACAATAATGAGAAAAATAGAAAAAAAACAAACAAAGAAGAGTAAACTATAGGTTGTGAACAATTATGGGATATATATATATATATATATATATATATATATATATATATATATATATATATATATATATATATATATATATATATATAGAATGGTAATCTCTACAAAACCCTTTCTGATAATCATTATCTGCTCACAAGTGACTGACTTCAAGAGACATATCCTGGACTTCTGGTAAGAAGCCGTTACCAGTGGAGTTCAATCAGGTGTGTTGTGAGATAGTAACTCACGGAAGACAATGGTGTACGGTGGTATAACTTCGTGGATTGGGTGAAGTTTGACATTAACACTGTTGGATGACGGTCGGCTCAATGGTTTAATGGTTAAGCGCTCACATGCGAGACTGATTGGTCCTGGGTTCGAGTCTCGCGGGGGCTGGGGTCGTCGATGAGCACTGCTAAGAAGTCCCATACTAGGACGAAACGGCCGTCTAGTGATTCCATGTATTCCATAGTGGTGGTCTAGCTTTAATTAACTCATGATCTCAACTCTTAAAATAAATATAATATCCACAAAACCTCTTCTGACAAATATTAATACAAAGGAGCACCGAATGCATATGCGTCACACAAGTCATGTGATTTGTATGTGGGCTGTGATACTGCCCGTGTGCCCAGACCAAACTTATTCATAAACTTACTTATTTCAATGTTTTTTTTTCAATTTCGAGCACGATTGTTTCCAAGATGGTAAAGAAAATATACTTTTTGAAATAAAGTATTCAGTTTCCTGTTATTCATTTTTGACTGGTGATTATGCAGTGACTGTGATCGTGTATTAGATCTGTACTGCATAAAAAATGTACAAATCAATTGAAATACCTATAAACAATTAACTATAAAATGATCAAATCACATGTCATATAATTTGGTAAGTCTTCTAATTGAACTCTAGATTCAGTTCCTAAGCTCTTTTAGTAACCTCAAGGCTAAATCTACACAACGACTTGAACATGAGAGAAAAGGCGCGAAATATGAAAGAAAACGTTTTACTCCAAAGGTTTATTTATGTACAGAAAACTTAGGGTTTTTATAGTATTTTACATGTCCTTAAGTTTCCGGAAAATTCTGAAATACTACTAAACATAGTCTCAGTATCATCCAATCAGAAATTCCATAAGTAACTTTTCATTTCCTAGATGTTTCTGGCATACGTTTTAGTGAACGCTGATTGAATAAGATAATTCTCAGTGTTTTCAGAGCCTTTCTTGGCTTTTTTTTTTCGAAGAGTTTTCTGAATCTCTTCAATATTATTCATCTTATATATTATATGTATCATGTCACAATTAATAAATGCATCATTGTAAACTAATCAAGTATTTTGTAGCTAATTATTCAAGTACGTTTATAGTTCTATTAAATTATGTTGAACTTGTACTTGTTGTCTATTTAATTGTTTTTCATACTTTGTTTATTTTATTATATAAGATAATGCATAATAAATTAGATTGATGACAATGGTAATGCCATAGTGAACGACTACACAAGTAGGGATATAACAGGATATCTTCGTAAAATCTGAGAACTATACAATAAATAATTCATTTACAAAATATTCATCAATTGTTTCAGATTTTGTTGTTCCTTCGTTTCCATACCAATCACACTCTATTCGTCGATTTTCTCAACCATCTGTCTTCAGACATTCTACTTACTACTGATAATACATATTACTTATATCTGTTGACATCAGTAGCGCACACTATTATGTTACTGGATATATTCAATTAATTCTCATGGTTTTTCTTCTATATTATACGTTCCAGGTATAATTTTTTCCAGAACTTTTTCTATATAACTCTTTATACCATTGTTGAATAATGAGATTAGAAGCAGTATGATATACGTATTTGAATGGGGACTGGTAAGATGGAATAAAAAGGTCAAATCAAATGGGATGTTCATTCAATATACGATGTTCTTATTATTAAACTAACATGAATTATACTCAGAATGATAAATAGAATGTGATTTTATTGTAACTCCAGATACTTTCCGCATGTGTGATTTTATTCTAATTATTGATTAAAATAGGTGTACAATCAATATATAAATGGATGTAGATTTGACAGGTTTCTCTTTCATGCTTTGGGGTTCAGAAATCTTTACTACCAGTTGTGGTGTTCATACTTCCTTCACGTTGTGGGAATTGCAGTGATTTCTTATTTTCTACAAGTATAAGTAATAAGCAACGCGGATATAATAAAGAATTATAGTCAATTGAAATTATCGTTATTATTGTCAGTCAACCGTGGTAATTTTTGGATGTCCTCTCAGTTTATACGCATCATAATCAAAGTTTTTCTAAACTACCTTAGCAACTAACATAACGAATTAATACTAGAAGGGGTTTTGCGGAGAATTGATAATTTCAATAGTTGAAATCATGAATCGATTGAAGCTAGGCCACCTGGAAGCATTGGACGGCCGTTTCGTCCTAGTATGGGACTCCTCAGACATTAACACCGTTGGATGCCGGCTCAGTGGTCTAGTTGGTTAAACGCCTGGCGCAAGACTGATAGGTCCTGGCTTCGAATCCCACGGGGGCGGGATCGTGGATGCGCACTGTTGAGGAGTCCCATACTAAGACGAAACGGCCGTCCAGTGCTTCCAGGTTTTCCATAGTGGTAATCTAGCTTCAATTCATTCATGATTTCAACTATTGACATAACGAATTAATATTAAATATAAAATACCAAAAAAAAAACGAAGGAACTAATGAGTAAATCTTAATCAATAATCAATAAATTTATCAATCACTTACCATAATATTCTCCTTCAATTTCAATAAAATATGGTTTGTTATCATTTAAATCAAGTACACGTATACAAATTGTATCTATGGTAGAATAAGTTTTATCTTGACCATTATCGGATGCAATCACTTCAAAACAATAATGAGACTAATTTAAAAGGAAAGAATAGAAAGAAAGAAAAAAGAGTAGTACATGTAATAAAAACAAGATAAGATTAACTATGAATAAGATAAAAATAAATATACGACATATGGTCTTAATAATAAATAAGATGGATAGTATTCAGAATTGGTTTATTTCAGTAATGATTCACATATCTTATATGATAGAATTTAGATTGCAGTTATATTCTTTTAAACAGTTAACTCTATAAGGAACAAACCAGCTTCCAACTGAAGAGGAAATTACGAAAAGACGATGAATCACTTTATTTATTCTCGTATAGATACTACTATGTTATATATATGATTGTCAAAACAATATGTAGCAACAACCTCTACATCAGTAGGCCTCAACATACACAAAAGAAAAACTAAGATCCTCAAATAAAACACTGAGAACACAAATCTAATCACACTTAGTGGCGAAACTCTGGAAGAGGTGGAATCCTTCACTTATATGGGAAGTATCAAGGAGGATCGGATGCAGATGTAAAGGTGAGGATTGGAAAATCAAGGAAAGCATTCCTACAATTGAAGAATATATAGAACTCAAAACAACTGTCTATAGACCAATATTAAAGTCAGAATCTTCAGTACGAACGTCAACACAGTTAGTTCTATTGTACGGACCTGAAACATGGAGAATTACTACAACCACCATCAAGAAGGTACAAGTAGTTAGAAATAGTTGTCTACGGAATATATGCAACATCCATCGGTCAAATACCATCAGCAACAGCCGACTGTGGGGGAAAACAAACTAGTTTCTATCTGAAGAGGAAATTAGGAAAAGACGATGGAAATGTATAGGATATACATTACGCAAATCATCAAACTGCATCACGAGGTAAGCCTCAACTTGGAATCCTGAAGAGAAGTGAAAAAGAGGAAGGTCAAAGAAAACATAATAATAAAAGATGAATAACAACTGAAAAGAGCTGGGAAGGATTGTCCAGGACATGCTTGGATGGAGAGTGTTGGTGAGTGGCCTATGCTCCTCCACGAGGAGTAACAGGCGTAAGTAACCTTCTTAAGCAAAACATTTATAACAACATATATACATGAACGATAATGTTTCCGACTAGATCCTCATCAGGAATTACTCTAATATACAGTAATGTATTTATATACGAATATGAAATGATTAAACCAATCAAGTTAGTTTATGAGTCAATGATAACAGTGGAAAAGATTACATAATAAGTGAAAAGTACAAATTAGTAGTGTGATGACAGGTGTACTAGTTGTGATAAGAATAATAAAGGCTTGATTCGATGTTACATAATGGGTAATAGATTATTGATTAAAAACAATATAGACACTGAAATAACATTGATCAGAACCATAAGATCACGTAATAAGAACTGATCAGATAATTAGACCGTGAAAGGTTTATTTGAGAGAAAATAAAATAAAATAGAAGGAGGGGGGTGAAGAAAAGATAATAATAAACGAAGAGAGAGTAAGGTGAATGATAATAAATAAAATTATTTATTAAGGCCAAGGGAGAGATAAGGGTGTTACAAATTTCTGATGAACAAAAAGACTTGGATTGTAGGCTCGAATTCCTACAACTTCTGTTATGTCTAAGAGACGAGATCGAACACCATAAGGAAAACTATTAGGAATATGATAAATAACTTTAAATGACCTATTTCTGTCCACTACATGACTGCTATCGATTAAGTATAATAGAACCGAGTTGCATATTGTCTTGACACTCCTTTTATCGAGACTATAGTTTATGAACGAACCAGTCATATTTAGGATAACAGGTGTCGGATTTTGGCGCGAAATTCACTCACCCATTCGTCCGAATAGCGTCTTGACATTTTAGCTAATGTCAGTTGGTGATAAAAACCATAAATCTAAATCCTAACCCCCACCATCATCTGTAAATCATTATCTTTATTCCTCAAACTGCTTTATAACCTTCATTTGGCCCTATTAAGTAGATAGACACTCTCAAGGTCACTTTGACGTCGCTCAAAGGTAGTCCATGATCTATATCCACTACTTTTTCATAACCACGGAGGGAGGTGTTCACTAACTCCGTTTCAGTTGTCTGATCGTCCGTTCATTTAAAGTATATATATATATTGGAGTTTTATCCTGCAAGGCACATGAAGGCAATGGATTGAAAACATTTAATTTAGGTAGCTCAGGTGGATGATTTTGAATAAGTTTTTTTCTCTGAGCTGAATGGTTTGGTTATGGAGCTTTTCATCATTCTTCTGAACGACATCATCAATACAAACTTCTATCTGAAGAGAACGAAACTCCATCAAAATCATCCACCTGAGATACAAATCTTCTCCACTATCCCAAAACTAAAGAGAATCGCTTAAATGTGTTGACTAACAGTTAGTGTAATACTGTTCAAAACAGATATACTTGTTTGAAACTATTTATCTAGTAACCTATTTCATACAATCTGGCCTAGATCCAGTATTTTCTTTCATGAATTTCATTCTCAATCACTTAAGTAATATTCCTGGTTCAAATTGATCTACTTTATATCAACAAGAGGATACCTTTGATTCAAAGTCATTCACAAAGAAACGTATATGATTTCAGTAACTTAATAAGAGAGTGAGAGTCTCAAAGTAAATTATTCTTATGTAAAAATGTCAGAAGAATTCGAATGACATACTGTACACAATAAAAAATAAAAATATTAAATTCACTTGGTATTGATTGGCTTGTATCTTCCCATCGAGGTTTAAGACTACGATTGATCAGTCTGTTATTGGCATATGTGCATACTGTGCGTGTCTCAATATTGCCTTAACTCACAAGTTTTTGTAAGCGATGATGGATAGTGGCTAGTAGTGGAATCCAGGACGCGCGTTTCATCCTATTTGGGACTCGTCAGCATTTTATTATCAATATTAATGGCTTTATTCACTATTATAGTTTTGGTACAATATGGAATTCTTAGGACAAAGTATTTCAACAAGTTTCCTTGTCTTATTTCTTGATTGATCCTGATGATAACATATTGAGTGATTAACAGTTAGATTTTAGCAGTTCAGGGATCGACATCTGAATAATGTGTATTCCTTTCGATGCATATTGTTAACAACCACGATCAGTCAGTCAGTCAGAAACGACGTACAACTTCATACGTACGTACATCAGTTCGAGTTGCCAGACCACATTAGAACAGAGATGCAGTTGTCAATTCAAATCTCTTAGTGGTAGAGGTAGTAAAATTACAAACAATAATCGGAAAGTTTAGGGTTTGAAGATGTTATTCAAGGAGTATATTACAGTGAAATAAATTTGGAAAGAGGAAAAAAGGGACATGAAGAATTCAGAAGATTAGAATTTGGGAGAACACAAAGAGTGGATGTACCTGCGCCATTGCAAACGATTTTGAGCCGTGTCATTCAGGGTCTCTAACCATCGGTTGCTATCGTCTCGTTGACCCCAACCAAGTAGTTTACACCTACCAACATGGCTCAGTCCACTTGTCAGTGACTTCATGGATTTGTGCCATGTTTTGGTCTGACCGTCCCTAGTTTTCTTCCAACCTACTTTCAAGCCATAAGACCTCTCACGTCGGGGCAGTCGGTGGTTGGGCATACATAACACGTGTCCCAGCCGTCTCAACTGATGAAGTTTCACTACTTCATAAATTGATTTTCCATCCTTACCTAGTACTCGTTTCCTAACAACTGCATTGCTTACTCCATGGTCACAGGATAAACGAGCAATGCTTAGAAAACACCTATGACCGAATACTACTAACCTACAAATATCCTCTAATCTTACTGGCCATGTTTCACTGCCATAAAGTAGGACGGAACGAACTGCTGCTCAGTAAATTCGTCCTTTGGTTGATAGACGGATATCTCGCCTACTCCATAAATGACGCAAGTTGGCAAAAGCTAGTCGAGCTTTCCGTATCCATGCTGCGGTTTCGTTACACACAACCACAATATCTCTGATTGGGCACTTTTGTAAGTTGTACAGCGAAATGTCGTAAATTTTTCACGATGTATATATATAGCAAACATCATTATAGTACAGAAGTTTAGGATTGTTTATTAAATAAAATAAAATAAAATTGATAATACTGAAACATCTTGGATATAATGTTAACTTAGATACATTTATAGGTTAAATGAAATTGTGAAATTAGTATTCGGAATTCATGTAGATGATGAGGCTAAAAGGAAAATAAATGATTTTATTGGAAATTTGACCAAATGGTCATTCAGAGTATGAAGTGATATTGTGGCATGTGCTACTTATGTAGACATAAGTAGTATATGATATTTGTCGTAAAAAGAATGTCTGGCAGCAGAGAGACAAGAAGACCGAACAATAAAGAATGGAAACAGAATGCGATTTGTATGAAAATGCAAGAACAAAGGAAGTCTGAGTCGTTTGAGACAATCGATGGACATTTTGCAAATTGAGCATTTAATATATGGTTGTTAGATTTCAGTAACTAGTTTTGCAATTTGTTGTCAAGTACACTCGACTGTTCCCACTGGTGTTTTGGTCACCACAATATGAATCAGTAGGAACGAGTACAATGTAGTGAGAGTTAACTAAGTTATCTTTGTTTTTGAAAGATTTATAGTATTTGTAGCAATCGTAATAGTGTAGTTAATGAGAGCACCAGTAGGGACAACTAAATGTACTTGAATAAAACATTACAAAATATCTTCATAAAATCTGAGAACTATACAGTGAATACTTCACAGGAAAATATCCGTCAATTGTCTTAAACTTTGTTGTTCCTTCATTTCCACACCAATCAATCTCTGTTGTCGTTCTCTTCTCGTCAATTTTCTCAACCTCTTATCTTCAGGCATCCCACTTTCGATTAATGATACACACTACTTATATCTTTCGACAGCAGCAGCATACACCACAATGGTAATAATAATACCAGTGTATGTCAATAAAAATAAGATCAATTTTAGTTATGAAAACACAAAAGGACAGAGGGTGTATAGATTTATCAAATTAAGTTTTCTTGTGGTTAAAACGACCATCGATTTACTGAGCGTTAAGTTGGCCAAAGTGAGAGAATGGCTTAAACATATACTGCTTCTGCTACAAGTCCGGTGAATTTTAAGAGGAAACTAACCTATTTAAAATGAATGATCAAATTATGCTGTCACATTAAATGGTACTGGGTTTTAGTCTCACAGTGAACATCAATTCTCAGATGCAGGTACATCCAGCCGACAAGTCCCAAATAGGAAGAAACGCTCGTCCTGGATTCCACTGCTAGCCGCTATCCATCTTTGCTTATAAGGTTGAACTAAATAGTTTTGCATTTACTGTCTTAACAACACCTTGCTTATTCATCTTAGAAAGTGTACACAAATGTAAATTTCGAAAGCATCGGCCGACATAACTTTTTATGCAAGAGAATTTAAACGGATAATTACAAAACGAATTGGTTAGTCTAACTATTTCTGAAATTAATTTTAAAGTTTGTCGTTTAATTACTGAATATAGACATTTGATTTCAATACTATTTTCAGTTATCCGAACGTGTTTAATTAAGTGATTAGATCTGAAAATATTACCTCAGTTAAAGAAAATCTTAATTATAAGCAGTGGTAGATGGTGGCTCACGGTGGATCTGATGCAGATGTGAAGGCACGGATTGACAAAGCAAGAACAGCATATTTACAACTGAAGAATATCTGGAACTCAAAACAATTAGCAACCAACACCAAAGTCAGAATTTTCAATACAAATGTCAAAACAGTTCTACTGTATGGCGCGGAAACCTGGAAAACTACGAAATCCATCGTCCACAAGATACAATTGTTTATTAACAGTTGTCTACGAAAAATACTTCAGGTCCGTTGGCCGGACACTATTAGCAACAACCTACTGTGGGAGAGAACAAATCAGATCCCAGTGGAGGAAGAAATGTGGAAGAAGTGCTGGAAGTGGGTAGGACACACATTGAGGAAAGCATCGAACTGCGTCACAAGACATGCCCTCATATGGAATCCTCAAGGTCGAAGGAGGAGAGGAAGACGAAAGAATACATTACGCCAAGAAATGGAGATAGATATGAGAAAAATGAACAAGAATTGGATGGAACTAGAAAAGAAGGCCCAGGACAGAGTGGGTTGGAGAATGCTGGTCGGTGGCCTATGCTCCATTGGGAGTAACAGGCTTAAGTAAGTAAGTAAGATGGTGGCTAGCAGTGGAATCCAGGACATATGTTTTATCCTATTTGGAACCCATCCATCTTTGCTTATTAAGGTAATATCGAGGCAGTTCGTATAGAATGCACGTTCGCCAGCCAATCAATGACTGATCCATGACAGATCAACCCCTTACAAACAAAACAAAAAAAAAATAAGAATGAAAATCTCACTTACTTGATTCTCTCTATCCAATGATTTTCGTGTAAATAAACTTCCATTATTTAATAAATAAAATGGTATATCATTATCAGTAATTAATTGAGTAGTATTATGTTTGAATTTAGAATTAATATTTTCATTTAACCATAATTGAAATGTTACTTTACCATTTAATCCTTCATCTCTATCAATTACTTGTAGATCACCAATCCATGTATTGATTGGTTGATTTTCTTCAATTGCAAATTGTCTTGGACCATGAAATTCAGGTAGATTATCATTTTCATCTAATATATATATAAGTAATTGTGTTGTAGATGTATGATGTATTGTATTATTATTTGATAATGAATATAATTGATGATTTAATATTTGAAAACCACCATCAATTGCTAAAATTGTTAACTGTATAAAAATTATTAAATAAGGGAAACATTTAAGGATATACACTATAGAAACTATAAATAATCATGTGTGTACAGAAGACAGGCATAATAAACATATATAGTTTTATATGAAAATGTTAAACCAATCAAAGCAATTAGGGTTGACTACCTCAGTGCTTTCATTAAGAAGTACATGTATGACATAATAAAAAAGTCGGAGATTTCAACTATTCATAAAAAACCTTTATTTATGAAACTACAATTCAACGAGGATGTGGCTAATGATACTCTGAAATTAATCAACAGAACATTCTAAGCAGCCAATCTTGCGTTGACTTTCTCTTGTCGACCAGTAATGTCTTCTCAAACGAAGAATAAATTGCCTCAGTTGGCCTCTTCAATATGCATTTACAAATTCAGGTTCTCTTGTGGAGATGGCTATATCAGGTGTACCACCAGGCAACTTAACCAACGAATGAGTGAACATCTACCAGAATGGTTTATAAAGAGCCAGATAAAAACAATACTTTGTTCTGTCTTGGAACATCTAATTGATAACGGTCATAATGTAGATAAATCGTAATCCTTTCGAGTGATCTATCGTATACCTCCATCATTTCCCAATGGAGTTCGTTCCCGTCTGTTATATATAGCTGAAGCCATAGGAATTCGTACATATAACCCCAATTTATGTGTACAGAAGAAATTTGTAACCCCCCTATCTCTTCCATGGCCAATTAAAACTTAAGTGACGATTTTTTTTTCTTTATTATTATTATTATTATTATTATTATTCTATCATTAACCTTGCTTACACATCCATTATTTGTTTGTAATTATCCGCCTCTTTCCATTTGTATATAGTTTTATTTCAATAGTTGAGATCATGAGTTAATTAAAGCTAGACCACCATGGAAAACCTGAAAGCACTGGATGGCTGTCTCATCCCATTGTGGGGCTTATCATCAGTGCATATCCACGATACCGTCTTGCGAGATTCGAACCCAGGATGAATGAGTATGGCGTGCGAGCGCTTAACCACTAGACCACTGAGCCAGTATTCAACGGTGTTAATGTCTAACTTCAACTAATCCACGAAATTGGGCGATACTTCCATCATTATCATCATTGAATTACTATCTCATAGCAGACCTGGTTAAACTCCACTGGTCACTACTTTTCACTAGAACTCCAGGATATACCTCTTACAGTTGTTCACTAGTGGGTATATGTTGATTATTGTCAGAAGGGGTTTTGTGGAGATTGTAGTAATTTCAATAATTAAGATCATGAGTCCACCACCATGGAAAATCTGGAAGCAATGGACTAGTGGTCAAGACTGATAGGTTCTGGGTTTGAGTCCATCTAGGCGGGGTCGTGGGTTTATAGAACGAAACGGCCGTCCAGTGCTTCCAGATTTTTCATGGCTGTTTAACTTCAATTGACTCATGATTTCATCTGTTGAAATTACTACAATCTCCGCAAAACCCCTTGTGATAGAGTTTTACCCGTTATAATTTTATCGATATTCAGACGATAATTAATGCTTTAATCCATTTATGTCAAATAATTACGTAACCACCTAATAGTTTTTTCCGTATTTACGTAACGTTATTAACAATTGGACACTTTGCATGTTAATTTGTCCTGTATGTTTATTATTATTATTTGCTGCCTTTCTTCCAGTATATCAATAAGAAACAGTGTTAGCTACACTTATAATGCTATGCTTCGTACTATTTTTTTTCTTCGTTTGATCATTGTTTTCAGTTCTATTTACAACATCCGTCTTAACTTCACTAACTAAATTATCTCAACCCTTTATCTTAGTATAACTCTTTGTAAGTTCAATCAATTTGTCAATGATGAGAGGATTCAAATTTATTAGTTTATTTATTGTAAATGATGAATAACAACTTTAAATAGTTGGAAACGATTGCCTAGGACAGGGTTGGATGGTGAGTGCTGGTGGGCGGCCTATGTTCCTCCACGAGGAGTGACATGCGTAAGTAAATAAGTAGGTAAGGTTAACATGCTATTAATATGACTACAGTCTCCATAAGAATCCCATTCTGATCATGATCCTTATGTGATCACTAGTGATTAGCTCCAAGATGATTTTCTTGAGTTCTAGTTAGAAGCTATGACCAGTGGAGTCTAATCTGTGTCGGTTAGAGATAGATATCTACTTCAGATAATGTATGAATAGTGTGAGCAGCCATTCATGGATTGATGAAAGTTAGACAATAACAATGTTGAATGTCAGGTCAGTAGTCTAAAGGGTAAGAGTTCACGAGTGAGATTGAAGTTTCTGAGTCCGAATTCCACATGCGGGATCATGAATATGCATTGCTAAGTAGTCCTATACCAGGACAAAACAGCCGTTTAATACATTCAGGTTTAGCTAACTTTCATTAACTCATGAATTGAACTATTAAAATTCTATTTTACTAAAGAATTTGATTCTAAACAATCACATTTTATAACTCTGACAAATTAGTGAATTACAAGGTACCCTACTGAGCTTTAAACTTCTTTTGTTCAGTTTGCACATTTGTTTGTAGCATTGTCTTGGATAAATTACTGTTTCTGTTCACTTCAATATGAAAGGTACATATCACTGACCATTACCTTTAATTTATAATTAAAAAAAAAACAATAAGTGAGGAAAATAATAATAAATAGCTTACTTTAAATGTTGACTGTGCTTCACGATCTATTTCAGCTGAATTGACAATCCAACCAGTTATTGGATCTATTTTAAAGTAAGGTGTAATAAGTTCATTCTTTTGTATACTGTAGTAAATTTGTGCATTTTCTCCTACATCTTTATCTGTTGCATGCATCTAATAATGAAAGAATATTAAATAGATTGTTGAATAAGTTTTGTTGGTAAACAATGTCTAACAATGAAAAATATACTTACACCTGTTACACCTCATGGAAAGAGCATAGGCTGCTTACCAACATTCTACATCCAATTTTGTCCTTGACAATCATTTCCAGTTGATATACATTCCTTTCATGTTTGTTTCCAATTCTTGATGCATTGTGTTCTTAAGCCTACTTCTTTTCTGTTTACCTTCAAGATTTTAAGTTAGCTCTTGCTTCGTAATGCAGTTTGATGATTTCCTCCATGTGTGTTCTATCCACTTACAATGTTTTTTCTTAATTTCCTCCTCAGTTAAAAGCTGGTTTGTTCTCTCCCAAAATAAACAATTTGACAATGAATAACTATAATTTAAAAGTTTATCCATTGGGTATATTTACATCATACAATGGAACTGATTGCATAATATCCACCTGTATTTACCAATTTACATATATATGACCATAAATACATAGTATGGAGTATACTTTATTTTCAAGTTATGTTCTTGTTATATCTAGAAGGTTGATTACTTGATAGACCGCGTATAACTGAACACTAGAACGCCAAAACCCTTCCAAGTCGCAAGGAGAAGACAGAAGACTAGTGAAAGGAATGTTACTCCAAACAGTGTCAATTATGGTACAAATTGTCAGGTAATTGTAGTTTTTAGTAAGAACAAAAATCATCATTATAGTCCTCCAATCCGCATACAGGGGGTTATTAGCCTTGTTCAATCGGGAAGCTACACATAAGAATTCTAGAATATTCTTCCTAACGGTGATTGGAAAATAGTTTCAGCAACAAATAAAATCAGATGACCCACCATGAGTATATAGCAAACACTCATCTCGCTTTATTAATAAACACATGGCTAAAGCAGGTCATTAGATAAATTTCAACTCAATCTTTGCGTTTTTGCATAAAATTCGTCTAAGGTAAATAGTTAGGCTTGTTAAATGCTTAACCATACAGAAGTTCAAATCCTTTTATGTTCAAAAACAATTTGCACTTATATTAAATCTACCCTATGAACTTGGATCCATCATCTGCAGTTGTGTTATAAGCTGTAACTTATTCAATAATATATTGTTTACATTATAAGCAAAGATGGATAGTGGCTAGCAGTCGAATCCAGAACTCGCGTTTCGTCCCACTTGAGACTCGTCAGCTAGATGTACCTACATCTCAGAGTGAATTAAGGCAATATCGAAGCAATATGCATAGTATGCACATATGCCAATAAGAGACTGATCAACTGAGGTTCTAAACATCAATGGGAAGATTCAAGTAAAGAATACCAAATGAATTTATGTTGACTACATACAAAAGAATCATAATATCTTTTAATTATACGAACTTACTAAATTATCCAAACACTGTTTGGTGTCGTTTCGATTTACTAGTTTATCTAGGCTAGAAACGAAATAAGGTGGATCTATGCTATAGAACTAATACCTTATGACTTCCATGAAATAATTGATCATTAGTAATGGCTATATTCGAAAAGTTAAACTATATTTTCAACGTTTAGTCTTATAGCTATAAAATATCATAGTGAAATAATGAAAATTCATTGATTTCAGCCGTTTAAAACCTGGAGACAGTGTACATGCGTAATATCAAATATTTAGAAAATTCCTGATCGATCAAAACTGGCTAGAAACACTGGTAAATATGGAAGAATTGTATGACATCTTTATGTGGTCGAATATCTTCATGGTAACCAATGGGAAGATTCTGGAATAAAATCTTCAAATTAATTGAAGATGTATTTCCAGAACAGCACATGTGATGGTGAAAATTAGACAATAACAACCACGATGAAAAAGTTGTTAAATAACTAAACCGTTTCGGGTGTACGGTAGGCAGCCACTCAAGATGGTGGAAGATGGTCTCACAATGTGGTAGATAGATTAAAGGTTAAACGCTTACACAGTTTGATGCCAGCTCAGTCATCGAGAGGTTAGGAATTCAAGTGGGAAATCGAAGATCTTGAGTTTAATCCCTATGTGTAGAATCATCGATTCAAACAGCTGAGGAGTCCCACAGCAGGACGAAATGGTCCCTAGGTGCTTCTAGGTTTTTATTGGTGATCTAACCTAGATCTGTCCATAACTTCAATGAAATAAACAGAGCATAATAAAAATAGAATAGACAGGAATGAATAAAATAACCTATAATTGAGGTTGAGAAATACCGTATTACGCAATTAAATGCTGGAAACTAAAATTACCATGGAAATCAAAACGTAACAGGAATCCTATTCAATGAACTAATTTGGTTAAAATCTTTTACAGACTATACATTTATCTGAGTGTATAGAAGAAGTGAATTTGAAAGTTACATAATGTCACTATTAGAAAAAAGGAACTTAAGGTTTCATTTTGTAAATTAGTCAGAAATAATAGAATTTCCAAATTGTTATCCAGACCATAACAACAGTATAATTGATGAATCAATATTATTCTACATTTTGTATTCAAATAAACTAATTACAATCATTTCATTTGGCCCCCAAATACCCTGGTACGGCCGAGAATGGGGAGAGTCAGCTCTTCCTTTCGAAATGTTCTCACATGACCACGTGCTTACAACTACAGTCAGGGAAGTCCTACTCACCACCATGGAAAACTTGGAAGCACTGGGTGGCCGTTTCGTCCTAGCATGGGACTCCTCAGCAGTGCTTATCAACGACTCCGCTCCCCGCGACATTCGAACCCAGGACCTATCAATCTAGCTTCAATTGACTCATGATTTCAACTATTGCGATTAAGAATTATTGAAGGAAATCAAAGTAATGATTTTTTTAAAAAGTAGTTATGTGATTCTTCAAGTTCACAATTCCTTTCTATTTTCCCTTCTATTCTCTTCAACTTTATTTTCTTAGCTTCCATTTCTCGCCGTATTATGTTCTTTGGTATTCTTCTTCTCCTTTTGTCTCGAGGATTCCATGTGAGGGCCTGCCTTGCAACGCAGTTGGGTGCTTTCCTCAATGTGTGTCCCATCCACTTCCAGCGCTTCTTCCTGATTTCTTCCTCCACTGGGATCTGGTTCGTTCTCACCCACAGTAGTGGTTGATACTGATAATGTCTAGCCAACGGATCCGAAGTATTTTGCGTAGGCAGCTGTTAAAAAACACATGTATCTTCTGGATGATGGCTTTCGTAGTTCTCCAGGTTTCCGCCTCATATAGTAGAACTGTGTTGATATTTGTATTGAAAATTCTGACCTTGGTTTAGACTAACAGACAATTGTTTTGGATTCCAGATGTTCTTCAATTGTAGACATACTCCACTCTCTTTGTCGATCCGCGCCTTCACATCTGCATCAGATCCATCGTGTTCATCCAGATCGCCAGTATCGCATTTACAGTTCTAGGAGTATATCTATAGGACAAATTATAATCCTACATGATATCTTGGATAAGATCATATGAGATTGTTTATCACTTAATGATTAATTCTGTATACAAGTTTTTAATTGTATACAGAAATAACCTTATCAGTGGCCTATACTCCATTAGGAGTAACAGGCGTAAGTAATACAGATATAACATTAAACAATTACTTACTTTAATAATTTTAGTGTTTATAGGTGAGTTTTCTTTAAGTGTAGCTTTATATAATTGTTTATCAAATATTGGTTCATTATCATTTACATCTAATATATGTAAGACAATAGTCATTGTAGCTGTTAGACTGTCAGATGATGACGCTGAAAACATTGATCCATGTTTATTGTCATATTCCCCTGATAAAAGGGAATTACTGAAAGATGTAGTAATACCATCCCAACAATATAAAATAGCCAAATATTTATCCGTAAAATTTTCACGATCATATTTATTTTGACTATATAATGTAAAACGTTGATAAACATGAGTTTCACTATTTGAGGATGATAATGAGGATGAGGATGATGATGATAACGTTGAGAAGATTGTAGAATAGTTATTATTATTATTATAATGATGAAACTCTTTTGGTGATAATGTTCGTTCATTTAAATAAAGTGATTCTTGTACAAATAGAATTGGTTGATTTCTTATTAAATGTGATGGTTCTTCACAATATACTTGACCATTCACTTTTGGACTATCCCGATCAATAATAAGAAGCTATGGTGATAAAATGGAAAAACAAAAAAGAATAGCATTGTATGTGATATTGAAATAAAACTAAATATATTGTTGTCATATTCGTGTCACTCTATTAAGTAAACTTGATAATTAACATGACGGGAAATAAGAATATAGAAGACTGATGTTATATTCGACGAAATTTAAAGGAATGGTAAATCTCAAGATTCATTGATGAACTATTATTAATGATATATAATAATGATTCATAACATCAACAGTACCTGGTGCACTCTTACGTGCCGCTTTGGTAGCTAACTGCTTTCTTGGTGACTTTCTACTTGTACTCTTATGGACAGTCTGCTTTGTACGTGCCTTGACTGTGAACAATCATAATAATGATTAGAATAAATATAATTAATAAGTATATATGTATATGTATATTTCTTTTATTATGAGCTTTTGATTGACTCATTGTTCACTCCACTCACTATTGATGGCAAAACTATGGAAGATGTAGAATCCTTCACATACCTGGGCAGCATCGTCGATGAACAAGGAGGTTTAGATGCAGACGTAAAGGTGAGGGTTGGCAAAGCAAGTTCCACATTCCTTCAATTAAAGAACATATGGAATTCAAAACAACCGTCAACCAATATCAAAGTCAGAATCTTCAATACGAACGTCAAGGCAGTTCTACTGTACGGAGCTTAAACCTGGAGAACTACAACAACCACCATCAAGAAAGTACAAGTATTTATCAATAGCTTTCTACGCAAGATACTCAGAATCCATTGGCCGGATACCATCAGCAACAGTCTACTGTGGGAGAGAACAAACCAGCTTCCAACTGAAAAGGAAATTAGGAAAAGACGATGAAAGTAGATAGGACATACATTACACAAATCATCAAACTGCATTACGAGGTAAACCCTAACTTGGAATCGTAAAGGAAAGTGGAAAAGAGGAAGGCTAAAGAACACATTACGTCGGAAAATAGAATCAGATATGAAAAGGATGAATGACAATTGGATAGAGCTGGAAAGGATTGCCCAGAACAGGGTTGGATGTAGAATGCTGGTGTGCGGCCTATGCTCCTTCACGAGAAGTAACAGGTGTAAGTAAGTCAGTAAACATTACATAATATCTATATCATTAATCAAACCGATCAAATTACTTACATGACCAATTAATGTTTTAGCTGGTTGATTTTCTTTTATTATTAATTGTAATGGATTTAATAAAAATTCTGGTAATTCATCATTGACATCTATAATTTTAATTAATAATTGAGTAAATGCATAAAATTCACCATCACTAGCACGTACTATTAAATTATATAAATTACATTGTTCATAATCTAATTTTTCTTTAATAATTACTTGACCATTTGATTCAATTAAAAATGTTGATGTATTATTTAAATCAATATTAGTTTCCATGGAATATGTAATTGTAGAATTGATATCTTTATCCGTAGCAACTAACTAAAAAAAGAGAAAAAAAATAGAGGATTGATTACTAATTAGTGTTATGGTTGTTTTGTATTACATACTTACACCTGTTACACCTTGTGAAGGAGTATAGGTGACCTAGCAACAGTTTCCATCTAACTCTGTCCTAGATAATCCTATTCAGTTGTTATACATTCTTTTCATATCCTTTTCTATTTCCTGACGTAATGTGTTCTTTGGCCTTCCTCTTTTTCGCTTCTTTTCAGAATTCCAAGTTCGGGTTTGCCTCGTGATACAGTTTGATGATTTCTATAATTTATGTTTTATCCACTCCCATCATTTTTTCCTAATTTCCTCTTCAGATGGAAGCTGGTTTGTTCTTTCGCACAGTTGACTATTGTTGCTGATGGTATCCGGCCAACGGGTGTTGAGTATCTTGCGTAGACAACTATTTATAAATACTTGTACCTTCTTGATGTGACTATTGAACTGAGTCAATTAACAATTCGTTCAATATGTCAAGATGTTTTGTAATTGAAAATGTTTAGCACGAAACCTTGAACATAATATACTGCACTCGATATCAGGTTATTTAGACTAGCGATCACTTTGTAATATGATTAATTGGATTCTATCACCACTAAAATATTAGTTAAATGTGACATTGGTTATTAATCAATAATCAATTTGTTTTCAATAAATAAGTTTTTCAAGTGGTCAGTTGAGTCTTTGGTAGTTTAGTAGCAACATATTAGATTGCGAAATTAAATGGTAGGGCTAAAATCCTACAAGAAACCTTAGTTCCCTCAAGATTGTAAAACTATCGTGATGATCATTATTAGCTTCCACAAAATGATGATCCAGGATTTCTTGTAGACTCTCTTCTACCAACTAAAATATATATGCTCAATTCTAAGATTTTTGTACAACAAAATAGTTACAGTCGGTATGAAACAAATGATATGAAACTGTTGAGTATTGGATGATAAAATAACATTATCTGTACTAATAATACCATCTCAGGGATAAGATTTCTAGCACTGATGGGGTTGGATAACTTCGGACTGTGTTGGAGTATGATCGAAATGACCAATGACTTGAAGTTACCGTGTTCAATATAAAAAAAATGAAGGTTTTAGTGGTGATTTCACGTAGTGCTAGCAACGGAACATTGTATCTGATCTTTTGAGCTAGTTCAAAATATATTTGTATTGGGTCTTTGAATCTACTAATTGATGTTTAGGAATGGAGTTAATCGGTCCCTTTGGGAATGTGTGTGTAGTGCGTGGATTGCCTCTATATTACTAGTACGTTTTAAGCGCTATAAGTAGAGTTGGATAGTAGCTTGCAGTGGCATCTATAGAGTGTGTTTTATCTTATTTGTGACTTGTTGGTTGGATGTACCTATCTCAACTCAACAGCTAAGTAAAAAATACTTGGCTTTTGAGGCAAACGGTACTGGATCCACGTTCCGGAATAAACACAAAACTCCAGTATTCCGGTAGATCTATTTGATGACTCCCAAATGTGATAAGACGCTCCTTTGCTAACCACCACCCAACTTTGCTGATAGACTAAATATTTTCATTCTATAATTTTCATTTAAAATGGTTTCGAATCTTATATCGCTCATAGTAAAGAAATGAACATTATTCAGATTCTCAACTGACCTGTTGTGGAAAACATTAACTATAGCATGATAGCTTCATTTCTGACATCGGGTGCTGATGAAATTCTGTGGTCTAATCAAAAGCTCCACAACAACCCTTGATATTAATCATATCGTCATGTTTACAAACTTTCTAATCAATAGTCTAATATGTAGCTTTCAACGATGTGATTGACTATTGATTAGCATAAAGATTGAGTTGAAAAATGTAAAACATTACTGGATCACTTTTACTTTACTGTCGCATGACAGTTTTATATAAAGTTATCGTTATCTTAGACTGACGAAATTTAGCATTATCTAGGGTTAGAGTGTCTATTTTTGAATCGCACTCCAATAATTTGAAGGCAATGGCTCAATGTAAAGATTGAATGTTATGGGTTAGACCGTCAGTGGAGTCGTGTATGCGTACAACTAAGGAGTCTCATAATTGTACAAAAATATCTGTCCAATATTTTCTGGTTTTCATTAGTTTTGTAAAATCAATCCTTGATGAAAATTAGATATTGAGTAAGAGTATCAGTCTATCAGTCAGCAACAATGTAGAACTTCGTACATACGTACATCAGTTCGAGTTGCCATACCACATCAGCACAGAGAGACAAATGTCAATTCAAATCCCGTAATGGTAGAGATAGTAAAAGCATTCTCCATCAAACTGTGTCTTGAGCTTCAGTATTATTCAAAATGTGTATAATTTACTATGCACCCTAGCATCTAGTTATTTTATTATGGTTAAAATTGAATAGTTAACACAAAATGTACTAGTTCTTTGCAACACTTCACTAGTTTCATACAGATTCATTAAAGTACTGAGTTCAAACTGTGTTATGTATCCTTCTGGCTCAAAACTATGGTAGTACTTTGTACTATTTATGAACAGTTTTAAATATCTTTTTAATAGCAAGAAATTATATGGTACTTAGCATGTACATTACATATACAATAAACAAACTATAACAAGATGTACTTGTATTAAAATATGCATGTGTTTGCTTCTAGATTCTTTCTGTTTAGAAGACTATAATTTATGGATGTTCTTTGAGCGATGCAAAAGTGACCTTGAGGACGTCCACCTAATAACAAGTATCAAATGAAGGTTATAAACCTGTTTCAGGAATTACAATTATGATTGACAGTTGATGGTCAAGGCTAGAAATTAGATTTTACTGTTTTTATCATGAACTGACATCATTTATAATGCCAAAAGTCTATTTAGTCAAATAGATGAATGAAATCCAAGATCTGTTATCTTATACATTATTTGTTCGTCCATAAATTATGGTCTCAACACATTTATTCAATATTTATGGAAGTGATCATTTTGTCGTTATACAAATATTTTAATTCAATGGTTGAATTCATGAGTCAATTGATGTTAGACCACCATGGAAAACCTGGAAGCACTTGATCGAGCACGTACATGCTGAGGAGCCCCCATACTTGAAGGAAACGGCCGTCCAGTGAATTCAGGTTTTCCATAGTGGTCTAGCTTCAATTGACTCATGAATTCAACTATTAAATTACTAAACCCTCTATGATTATATAAATATCTGCTTGTTATTGACTACTTGCAACGGATTTTTCCTACAATATCATCTATTTTAATTTCCATATAGTTGTGACCAAATTTTTCTATCACAGTATTTTCTCTGAGAAACTTATCAATTGTAGATTTTACAGGTGAACAGGTTGTTGTGTAGTGAACGAGAATACAAATGGGTACAATCGGATCTATTCAAATAAGAAATTACAGAGCATCTTAGTACAAATCTGAGAACCATACAGTAAATACACGTGGTATTGTTTATTTGAATGTTCCCATTGACGTTTAGGACTGCAATCAATCAATCTTTTATTGACATATGTGCATACTGTGCGTATTGCCTGGATTGGCCTTAATTTACAAGTATTATATGTAAAGATGGATAGTGGCTAATAATGGAATCCATGATGCGCACCACTTCGTAGTATGTGGGACTCATCAGCTGGATCTACCTGCATTTCAGAGTTGATGTGCACTCTGGGACTCCAACTGAGTACCGTTCACTTCAAATGCCATCGCGTTATCTACTTAGCTACTGACATGCAGGTACATCCAGATGACGATTCCTAAATAGGGCAAAACGCATATCATGGATTCCACTACTAGCCACTATTCATCATACCATATACAGTAAATAATTCATTTGTAAAATGTCAATCAATCGTCTCAAACTTCATTGTTCTTCTAATTCCACACCAATCATTCTCTATTCTCATTCTCTTTACTTCAATCATTTTAACCTTCTGCCTCCAGATATTTCACTTTCGATTGATGATACATACTACTTATATCTGTCTAGATCAGTAGCACATATCACAATTGGATGTTTACATTATGAATCATAAGTGACATAAATAAATAGTTTGTTTCTTTTCAAATTAGTCAAATTGTAGTAGTTTTCTACATAGATAACATTTAGAATACATATATTATAAATAGCTTGGATTTTTAATTGATTGAGTAATATACCAAGTGAATTGATCTTTTGGATAAAACTCATTAGGTTTAGTGAATCTGTGCTAATATGATGTTGTCATTTCCAGTTATTTTATGTTTTACATTAAGATATACTTAAGATCTTGAAATTTATCTAATAATTCTATTTCTAATCAATTTTTTACATTAAAACAATCTGTAAATAACGATTCATGACAAAACCATTATTATTGTTATTATTACTGCAACCATCATCAAAAAGGTACAAGTATTTATGGGCAATGGTCTACGTAAGTTACTGAATATTGGTTGAATGAATACGATCAGCGACAGCCTACTGTGAGAAAGAAAATGTCAGCTTCTATTTGAATAGGAGATTAAGAAATTACGTTAGAAGTGGATAGGACATACATTGAGGAAATCTTCAAACTATGTCACGAGGCAAGCACTAACTTGAAGTTATGAAGAAAGGCAGGAGAGTGGAAAATCAAAAAATACACTGTACCGGGAATCGGAAGCGGACATGAAAAGGGATATTAAAAACTGGAAAGAAGTGGAAAGGATTGTCGAGGACAGATTTAGATGAAGAATGCTGGTGGGTGGTTTATGCTCATCAATAAGTGGTAATAGTTGTAATAAATTTATTTATTTATTTATTATTATCAATATCATTCTGAGTCGTGCAACCAGTCAAGTAACGAAGGACTACATCGAGAAAGAATGTTTGAGAATCTAAAAAGCAAATGAAACAACTGTTCAGTATTATATAGTTTTCTAAGATTCAACAACGAAAATGACTTAAATGTAGATCAAATTTTAATTCTATGAAAAATAAATAGGCAGTGACACACAGAAGACAATGGTAGACGGTGGTATAATTTC